CATGTGTTTTTTTTTCTTTGTTATTTTTTTTTTGGGGGGGGTCCTTGCTGACATGTGCTGCACATGCTAACAATATCGCTGCAAACAGAGTGGAGTTATTTTACAAAAGCACATAGCAGGTTGTGTCCATTTTGCCCTTTAGTCGCTAAATTTAGCCATACTTCCGATAGCTCACAAGACAAGCTAATTAAATTCCTGCTAAGAAAGTGACAGCGTGAGCGGAATCACCATGTTTTGCGTGTTAGAATGGAGCCTGTAAGAAACCAATCACACCGAACACTTCCGAAGACACAGTTGCCCATTTACACGTTATGCAAAAGCAGTTAATCATCTACATGTTGGAAAAATTGGTAAGTCACAAATGTTGTGTCACATTCACCTTGCCTTGTCTGGACAGGAAAACGCAACATGAGAAAAATGAAAAAGCTGGACAGGGTGTGCTGTTCGACAAAAGACATTTGGCCCAGGCGAGCTATGCAGCTTGATTGGTGTGAATTGCAGTCAGAAAAAAAAGGTGCTACATTTCTACCTTTAAAAGTCCAATGGCTCGTCACTGGGGCCTCAAGGGTACACCTAAGCCGCTTTTCCATTACAGGGTCCAGAACGACCTGACACCACTCCACACCGACCTCACTGGGCCCGGCCTAGCCTCTGTTGCTTTTCCATTTTTACAGGCAGCAATCAATTGGGGCGCGATCAACGGAACCGTGCAAGCATGCACTGCACAGTGAACACTCGCTACGTGCAGACTTCTATCATCACATTTCACGAGAGGCGACTCTCAGACACAGGTTTTGCGGCGATATGTATTGCTGTTGCATGATGTGGTGGTAGCAAAATCCACATCCGGGTTTAAGCGATCGAGACACAGTCACCTGCCATCAAGACAAAAATACAGTACAGGACACATATACTGTCTTGTACAACAATACCTAATCATATTTTCAACTGTATATGTTTTAATAGAAGAAATAGTGAAGCTTGGGGACCTGTAATTGTTATTGATCGGAGAGCTTGGTCTCATTCATTTGGCCGCCTCTTCGAGTCACTGTCATGTTGTCCTCGCCCAGCGGCATCCGAAACCACCCGGTGGCTGCCATCCGTGAAGCGGAGTCCACCAGCGTTGGGTTGGGGGACTGCCAAGGCTGTAGGCTGCTGCTGGATAACTCTCATTCAAGTGAATGGAATTCAGCGAGTGGTGCGTGCGCTTGAGAATTTCTTTTCCCGCAAGCTTCACTATCTTCTATTAGTACATATGAAGTTGTAAATATGGCTATGTATTGTTGAAAACACAATTGCATGTACTGCATATATTGTATTTTTATGATTTGGCAGCGCCAGTGGCCGACTCCGCCTCACTGGCTTGATACATGTAACTGAGGTGTAACATGTCTGGTCGAGAATATTTTTTTGTTTCCATGTATCATGGTACAACTACATGAACTTTAATGTAAATACATAAGGGTTTGGGCATAAAACTCATTTTGGATTGCAAGACTCAAAATGAATACTCAAGATTCAAATATCCTTACACTGCATGTTCGCCTCTCGCTGCCTTTTCATTCCATCAGTGTGTTTGTCTCTGTGCATAGTTTTGGGAACTCCTTGTGACAAGAGCTAAAAACAGAAACCATCACACCTGCATGACAGTACCACGAGGATAAAACAATACTGCACGATGTAATATGTTTTTCCCCCCTCCCCTTTGTGTTTTCTGTATTGGGCACAAACTGTAGTTCACATTCAGATGGCCTAGGCGGCATCTGTCAAGACCGCTGAGCCTGTCTCAAATCTACTTTGCTCTTTTCAGGAGGGAAATCATCTAAAGTCAGTAAACTTTGACAATCCTCCTCCCTCTGAGAAACAGAGGTGAGGGAAAAAAAGGTGATGGAGGAGGAAAGGAAAAGGATGAGGTGAGGCACAAAAACGAGAGGAATGAGAAGCCAAGACAACGCTGAGCTATAATTAGACTGACTGAAGAGTAAAAACAAAACAAAATTGTGCTAATCTCGTCCTATTTTGGCTCCATCTTCCCCTCACTCCTCTTGTCTTCATTTCATTTTCTTAGTTTGACAATGGATTGAGCAGCAAATGATCATTTCATGATGTTATTTTCTCCCTGTTTCTCTTCTCTTTTGCCCAGTTGTCTTCATTCTCTCGCCAATTCCTCGCTTGGTTGGAGGCATTGCGCCCCCCAGCTCCTGCTTCATGTTCAGCTCTAATGATGAAAATAGTCACCCTGTATTGTCCACTCCAAAGGCTGTGTGCGTGTGTATGTGTGTGTGTGTGTGTGTGTGTGTGTGTGTGTGTGTGTGTGTGTGTGTGTGTGTGTGTGTGTGTGTGTGTGTGTGTGTGTGTGCGCGCATGCGTGTGTGAGTGAGTGCCTGCAGTTCTGCTTTTCATTTAAAAAAACATGTCAGAAATGAAGCCCTGAAGACATGTTGTGCTAAAAGTTGTTGTGGAGTGCACTTAATTCTTAGGCACGAACCTTAAATGAAGGCCGATGAGAGCATAATGGACACCAAAGTTGGGTCTTGAGTGTCCCGGGCCTGCATTTGGTCGTGGAGGCCTTGGAGGAAGCTCTTTACCTTTCAGACAGTGGTGAATACATTTTCTCTTTCCTCCCAGTGCTGCACTCTAACCTCGAATTTACGAAACAAGCTCAAACCAATACAGCAAGCAATTATACTGTGGTGCCTTTAGACCTGTGCGGCGGGGTTTTCGAGATTCGAGCTGTCTTCAACCGATTTCTGCTTTGACTTGAGAATTACGGTAGTTTCACAGTCAGCAGCAGTTCAACATCCACGAAACAATCTCTCAAAACAGAGGCTTCAATATCACTCCCAGTTGAAAGCGAATTATGTACCAAAACCCTTCCTGTGTCAAAATTTGTTAAATTTCAAATTCCATATGACTTGCTGTTAAAAGTCCCTAAATGTTCAGCACAATAGATGGAAGAGTTGGAAATGTCCTCTTGGGTGTGGCGGGATTTGGCACTGCTAATAATGTGGTGCCTTGACATCACTGGGTGTTTCGGCCATTTTTACCAAGACACTCTCCGCCGAGGTTGGCCCACCACAGGCTGATCAGACCTGGGGTGTGTATCGCGCGGTGGCTCCACATGGTCATTTGGCAGCCCACGTTGTATCCCCGCGTTTCAGCCGCAGCCAGTGACTGCTCCACTCTGCGACAATGACGAGTTCTTTTGTTGCCCTCCGTTGGGCCTGCCCTCTGATGCCTACTTCCTTCAGAAGCTTTGTGGTGGACCTGGCTACAAAGCCTCGGCAGCCCACCTCCACTGGCCACACCTTCACATTCCACCCTTGCCCTTCTGCTTCAGCTGCTCCGCTGGCACATCGCAGCCTCTTCCCTTCGAATGCCTCATCGATTGCACCCTCCCATGAAGACACGCTGGCAGAGTTCGGACCACAGGACTAGGTCTGGGCGGAGGTTTGTCATTGCAATTTTGGGTGGAAAAGTGAGCCTCTGGCTGAGGTCGACCAGCATTTCCGAGTTCCGGGCTATGGTCAGTGGGCCTGACCCCAGAGGAGATGGCTTGGTCCACCGTTTCTCCCCGTCCCAAACGAAGGATGTTTTCTGTGGTCAGATACGCTAGGGATTTAGAGGCATGGTTACCCTCTTGTTTCCAAGTTTGGCACTTGACAAAATATAATTGAGTAAATTCAGCATACCATTTTTTTCAGTGTAGGTCTTTATAGTGAGGCATTTGGATGTGGATTCAAGCCAAGATCCACTCATTGAAGGCCTTTGTGCCACATTTTCATCAAAATAGCAAATAATCTTTGAAAGAGTGTTTGCCATTCCAGAGAGCGTCACTAACTAAGCTCATTGCAGCTGTTCTGGTGTCTCTCGTGGCCTTATCATCACGCTTTCTTTGTTTTTTCCTTAATTTGCCAGCCTTCTCACAGCTTATGCCAAATTGAGCCTCACTAATAGCAGACCAACAATGTCATTCTTAAGCGCGCGGCTTTCAAAAGGCCAACTAAAGAGAACACATGATTGAAATTTGACTTTTGAATTGCCGTTCAAGTGTGAATTTACATAACCAAGTAAACCCTGAGTTAGCCTCTCATTTTTAAACACTTTTCTGGAAGCAAGGCCTTCTCCAATTATGCCCAATTGTTATACTGCTCCCACACTGAGCTCCTCCGCCCATGACTTGGCTTCTGGGCTGAACGAAGATCCACTATTTTCAAGTGACTACAAGCCTAAAACCTAAAGTTAAGAATAGATGAAGGTTGACACAGATTAGCATTAATTAACTACGTTATCCATGTTGGTTTGGAGAAAACGTTAGAGAGGCCAGACTGAGATGGTTTGGACATGTACAGAGGAGGGAAAGTGGATACATTGGTAGGAGAATATTAGAGATGGAGCTACCAGGTAGGAGACAGAGAGGAAGGCCAAAGAGGAGATTCATGGATGCCGTGAGGGAAGACATGCAGGTAGTCGGAGTCAGAGGAGAGGATGCAGAGAACAGGGAAAGATGGAAATTAATGAGTCGCTGTGGCAACCCCTGAAAAGGGACAAGCCGAAAGGAGAAGAAGAAGAAGATCCATGTTGGTTTATGATAAAGCGGCATAAAAGTGACTGCTCCAATAGACATTGATGTGGGGGTTAGGGAGCTGGTGATTGTATTTTGTGATGTGTTGGTTGCACGTGTAGACAAACAACCATTCACGTCACCTTTGGGCAATTTCAAGTCTTCAGTGGAGCAAAACTGCATGTTTTCCAATGTGGAAAAAAAAAACACGCAAGCACAGGGAAAACATGCAAACTCCACACAGGAGCCTGGATTTGAATTCCCAAACTTAAAATTCTGACATCTAAATGTGTTAACCACTCACCCAGTGTGCTGCTGCACATCAAAATACGACCCCTTTATTCTTCGAAGTAAAACCGGACCGTTCTGAATGAGGGATTGGCTGCTACTCATAGTAGCAACGTGTGATGCTGCAAAGGCAGATACTTGAGATTTTTCGATCGGGGTGGAGCTGATGCTGAGCTGTACACAGAGCAGCCTTACAGTCGCTGCATCGCTGTTGTAGAGGAAATGACTGTAGGCAAAGCAGCAGCAATGGCAGCTGTGAAGCACTTAGACTGATGGTGCCTCCCTCCATCTCCCCCCACCCCGCAACCATCGGGGAGGTGGGGGGCAATCATGTCTGACTCCAGCGCTACAGGACTAATCTTAAACAAGGTACGTTGTGATGCGCCCGTCTTTGTTTCATCGCTCTGCAGGCAGACTCTTGGTCACGAATCCCTCGTCCCCTGCCGCTTCTATATTTAGAGCAATTCGCCATAAAGTTCCGCGATTTTCCGATGGCACCACTACTATATAAACTCCTTCCATGTTATTTGACCAAGGCAGAGCGATTGAGAAAACAGGCTCAATGGCTACAATGATCATTTCAGTCTTCTTTCCCACTGCCGTAGTTTGAACGTGTGAAGTGTCAGTGGAAAGTAAGATGCTGTGTGATGTAGACGGCTTTGAAGCTATCTTTGAGGTTATTTAAATGTTGAGCCGCCAGCAAATGAAGACTGGATTGGATTTATGAAACATATGAACCCTGCTAATTTCTGGAGGAAGACAATTAACTCATTTTGATTCATCAACACTTGTTCAGAGATATTAACAGTATGCATTTTTTTTCTGCAGTAAACCAGCCCCTATAGTGAGTCCGAAAAATACTGAAAATGGACCGTGGGACTTATTTTTTTGAACTTTTATATGAAATGCAATGCACGACAGGTTAAGCACATGACTAGAAACTCACTTTTAGGAATACTTTGAATACTAACTAATGCGCAAATAATATCCTCAATTTCTAACTGTTCTACTTTCTTTGCCCTAAAAGGAGTTACGTTACTCGTCATCCAGCTTGTTAATAGCACCTTGACTTTCATTTTAAAATATTAACCTGCATGTGTGCCACAGTATTGAGCTGCTCTCATTCTCATTTAAACATCGTAAAGTGGTGCTCTTTCTGACCACCTGAAATGTGTCTTAATTAGGGTAAAAAAAAAAAAAAAAAAACGTCAGCTCACTCCTACATGTGGTTTACAAGTGATCTTGGACTTGAGTATGACAGTAAACATCTATTGGTGAAATTGGAGATTTGTTTCTGAATTCACTATACATATTTCAGGATAATTGCTGAAAACGAATAAGGTTGAGAATGATGCAGTACTGAATTGTGGAGATATATCGTTATTTTTAATGCAGTTTCACACATAAAAGTGGACATAACCAGAGCATTTGAAGGCAGGGAATTTAAAGCCTCATTTTATATACTTGGCTTTTTTTAATCAGTCAAATTTGACAGGGTTGTTCACAACACTCCAATTGTGATGTGTCAAATTTAGAAGAAATCTTATTCAAAACAGTTAAATGATGGCTGAAACATGACTCAAGGTCAGATTATTTCTATTATTTCCTCCTATTTAGAAAATGACTTTTGTTGATGAATGAGTAGACTTTAAACCATATATTAGGAGTGAGTACGCTGTAAACATCAGACAAACATATTTTAGTCATCACTTCAGTATCTATTTATAATAGTTCAACTGATCTAAGATAAACCTGCCAACTAAGATGTGTCTTTCGGGAGCACCATTGTGAATATGTGACTATTTGCAACCTTTGTGAAAAGTCAACCTGTTTTTTTTCAACCCCCGGCATTTGTCACTTTTACTGTAGTCAATGAAGCAGAAACATCACAACGTAAAAGGGGAAAAAAAAAAAAAAAAAAACGTCAGCTCACTCCTACATAATAACAGGAATGATAATGAAAATAGGGTATCGGAACAGAGTGGTCAAAGTTCAGAAATATTCCATATCTACTGGTTAAAGACAGGTACTTATATCATGACTTTATATCACTGTGAAGCTGCGTCCTGCTGCGCTCAGAGCCCAGTCGGGAAGAGGTGAGAGGGATTGGGTGGAGCGAACCATTTTGGAGCCAAGATGGAGGTTGCTCTGACCTTTGACACTGTGGATAAAGGTATTATGAGTCCCACTGCTATTGTTCTACGGTTTGTGTCCAGGTTTCTGATCTGACAAGAATATAGAATTGGCTCAATCATTGGATTGAACAAGAAGACTCATTGGCCAGACTTGAATGGCATATCTTGTTGCGGTTGTTACAGATTGGCCAAGAAATGGATTGAACGCTTTTGTCTACTCATCAAGGCTGAAACTTGACTCATTTCAAACTTCACACTCTTCATAATTCTTCAAATCCAATGATGGATGTTGGGCTTGGTAGTGGCTACCCCGTCATGGGGTAGTCTTGGTACCTTCTTTGTACAACCATTTGCGACATCCACTTTGTTTATTCTCCTTACCGACAGGTTCAATATTTTTTTGCAAGAAAATGGAGAAAAAGCGAGAGCTTTTGCAACCTGGCTGCACAACCCTAAACACAAAATGTTTTTGTTATGGTTTCAGTTGAGGTCAGCAATAGTCCCTCACGTTCTGCCACCCGGAAGTATGCCCCTGCTTTTTTGAAAGCATCCTCAATTGGTGTACAGTGTTGGCGATTCCACTTCATTCACTTTTACGGCACCTTTAGCAATTCTTGGCACTCTTACGTTCCTTCCAATGACTGCTTGGCTTTGAATGGGCACCTCGCTGGGAATCCCATATGTTAAATGTCAGTTGGTCACAGTCTCCAAGCAGTCTTGCACGTCATTGTGTTCACTTGAGCTTGTGCCAAATTCATTCGTTTCATTTCATTCATTTTCATGTATTTTTTTATTTCAGGCAGCGGTCAGCAGAAATATGTTAAAGTCAGATGTTGCTGCCCTAATATTTGGCACGCCTGCATCTACTGTGTAGAAAAAAAAAAGTCGGAATAAAAATACTTGGAAAAGGAATGATTGATGTTTGTTTAGTCTTTCCCCACGTTTGCTCTATTTTTGTTGCGATGCAATGAAACCAAGGTTGAAATTTTTGGTCATAATTTGGTTTGACGCAAAGTACACAACATTCCTCATCATGGAATAACCCTATGCCTACAGTGAAGCATGGTGGTGACAGCATCATGCGTTGTAACTGTTGTTCTTCAGTCGGAACTGGGTCTGAAACAAGGTTGTGGGGCGGCGGGGGGGGAGGGGGGGGTATGAACAATTCCAAATAGCAGTCAATGTTAGCACATAACCTTTCGGCACTCTTTGGGTACTTGGAACTTGAATGTAAATCCAGCCCTTTTCTAACTTCATTGAAAGCAGCCATTCTTTCCTTTAGGGTTCAGCCGATTCCTACACTAGTCGACCCTCGGATTCCGACCTGTCCCTGGAGGACGACCAGGAGGCGTCTCGGCGTGAAGCCGAGCGCCAGGCTCAGCTGCAGCTGGAGAGAGCCAAGGTGAGATCACAGTGCTTGTCCTTATTATTGATGACGCTTGTTTGATATTTTCTACTCTTTTTTTTTTTTTTTTTTTTGTCATGTGAAAGTCGAAAGCAGTGGCCTTTGCAGTGAAAACCAATGTTAGTTATTGTGGCGCTCTGGATGAAGATTGTCCGGTCCAAGGCGCAGCCATTAATTTTGAAACCAAAGACTTTCTGCACATAAAAGAGGTTAGAGGCCATCTTTATGTCATTCCCATCTCTGCCACTTTTTGACGTAGAGGACACCCAAGGCAGCTTATGCTTTTTGTTTGTCCTGCAGAAATACAATAATGATTGGTGGATCGGTCGGCTGGTGAAGGAGGGCGCAGACATCACGTTCATCCCCAGCCCCGTCAAACTGGAAAACATCAGGATCAAACAGGAGCAGAAAGCAGCAGCCAGGTCTGCGGTCACACAAGCGTTTACACTGCAATCAAAAGTGGACTGGTTCTGAAATGGAGTCTAAGTGTGGGAATGCTGTAGTTTGACGTTATCTCTTTTGCGAAGTTGTCGGAAATTTGCTACCGTGCGCTTGCTGTAAGACTGGCAATATCTGAAGTGAATTCTGGGTGCCGCGATAATTACATTTTGTGTCATTATGTTTGTATAGCAGCAGAAGTTTTGCCTATTGAACCTTTTTATTTTGTGAAACATAATCACAAATCATACGTATGATGAACATGTTTGGGTTTGACATCAGAACTGCAGTTTTCCTTGATCTAGCCCTTGAGTGTCTGTTACTTGGTGCTTTATTTCTTCTTCCAGGGCATTCCACTTGCGAGCGCAAGCTTAAGATACGAGCACTCTGTGGTGGCAGTGAACTCAACTCAAATTATTTCACAGTAACCGTCACTTGAGCGAATAGGGAATAATTCTTGCTTCAAGCTGTTTCATGCACCGAGATGAAGTTTACTGCTAAACTAAATGTAAAACTAAGATAAATATCCATCCATCCATCCATCCATTTTCCAATCCGCTTATCCTCACAAGGGTCGCAGGGGGTGCTGGAGTCTATCTCAGCAATCTCCAGGCAGGGGGGGGGGGGGGGGAGCAGTGCCCTGGTTGCCAGCCAATCGCAGGGCACACACAGACGAACAACCATCCACGCTCATACTCACACCTAGGGACAATTTAGAGTGATCAATCAGCCTGCCATGCATGTTTTTGGAAATTGGGAGGAAACCAGAGTACCCAGAGAAAACCCACGCAGGCCTGGGGAGAACATGCAAACTCCACACAGGGAGGCCGGAGCTGGAATTGAACCCGGTACCTCTGCACTGTGAGGTCGACGTGCTCACCACTGGACCACCGGGCCGCCTCAGTTAATTATATGTTATAAATTTAAAATAACTACAAAGCCTGCTAGCTTAATGCTAATGGTAGCACATAATGGTCAACACTTACTGCTGGCATTAGGCCGAAACCTCAGAGGTCACATTCTGGTAAATGTCATATTTTTTTCACCAATCTATACTATTGGTCTGTCCACGTGGGTGTTATTTTTACCATTTTTGACAATGTGAACTGTTGAAAATGGCGTGCTCTCTTTGACGATGTCATGTATGGTTGAACAAAAATGCGATTATAGGGATATCCTGAAAAGTGATGATATTGGAGGTACACTGCCTGTTGCCTGCAATATATCATCCTCGATGCAACTGATATTTACATTCAACAACACATCTGCTGCTGTAGACAGAGACACCATGTTGATTGCTTGTATCATCCAAATGGTTTTTTTTCTCCAGCCAAAATAAAGGAATTGCACACACTGTTCCAAGACTTTTGGCACGGGGGTGGGGGGGAGAACACAGTTTGTGCATTCTACGTCATGCGCCTGCTGTCATTGCCCCAAAGCCACATTTCCACGACACCTTTTAATGAAGCTTTCCTTGTTGGCACGCCTACCTCTTGTATCACGGCTTTGCTTTGTGCTTTTCTCCAAATTGCCACCTGAGGGGAATTTGCCCACGATGACACTTTGCATTTTGTCCCTCTGCAGGAAAGGAGGCAATGCGTCATCTGGAGGCTGGAGATCAACGCCGCCATCTGCAGGTATGTAGAGCTGCAAGAGTCCAGCTGCCGAGTTGCTCCTCTTCAGGGACTGCTAGTCTCCCAAACAAGAGCTGTACCATCCTCTTAACATCCTGTATGTTAACTGGATGTGAAAGTTAAGGCATGAGTGCGATGACCCCAGAATGTGTTCCAGTGTTAGTGTGTCCTTTCCCACAGTAGCATGCTTTGCTAATGTTTTTCTGAAGCATACTAATGATGAATTAACTCATGCGATTTCTTCTACTTGTCTGATGTTTGATCCCTTTGTTCTGAAAGCCAAACAGAAGCAGAAACAGGTGTGTTTTCTAACAAAAAGTATCTTCTGTGGCTCTGTCTGTGCATCGTTAATACCAATCAGACAATACCATTCGGCATAATGTGTTTGTGTTCATCATTTCTCTGTCGATTTTTGCCTGGTGTAGACAGAACTTGTCCCCCCGTATGATGTCGTTCCCTCCATGCGGCCCGTGGTGCTGGTGGGGCCTTCGCTGAAAGGCTACGAGGTGAGGCAATTGCAGTCTTGTATGAACTCCCAGAAAGCAATACTTGAATCACTGAAAATTGATATTAAATTTTGTGCTATTAAATGTATTTAAGCGTTATTTTAAAAGGTTGAGTGTTTTTGTTGTTGTTGTTGTTGACTTTAGTGGTGTTGTTTAAGATCTGTGTTGACTAATGAGGAAAGCAACCAAAACATCCAATTACAATAATTTCATGGAACAAGAATCCACTTGAACACGCATGGAGCAACAACACATATATCAACAAAGCATACAACAATAACAACAGGCATTTGCTGTGGGAACAACTGTTACAGCAACTTAAAGGGCGACCTTCTCTGCCTCTTCTTGTTGGTCTTAATTATGTTGCAACCCTCCCAGTGGAACTCAAGTGCTGCCTGGAAAGTTGTGAGATAATGTGTTACTACACCTTTGCAAAAGTTTGATCAGCTTGTATACAATAAAGATACAGAAAAAAATAAAACCTGTGACATAGTGATTTGGGGTCTGGGGGTGGGAGTCTTTATGATTCCTTTTACTGTACTCTGCAAAAAGAGTGTAAATAACAGGATGTGATGTGAGGGGAAGCACCTGAAGGGACTACAGTACAGTAATCCATCTTTAAATGAATCCATATGATAAAAATGGGATGCGTGTCAGAGAACAAACTGTAGCCATGTGTTTTTTTTCTTCATTGTGTCAACCATTACATAATTGCATATGTGTGTCTTATCGTTGTTTTTATTGCTTATCATTTCTTTTGTGCACCTTTCTTTCCTCTTACTCTCTCTCTTGAATTGTGGCCAAGCAAAGCCACGCCTCCAGCCATTCTTGTTGAAGAACTTTGCAAAAAATAAAAATAAAAAAAGAGGCAGCATTTCTTTCTTTCAGACATATACAAGCATACACACCACATGTGTCTTTGTCGTCATCAATATTAATTTCTCTCCATTTCCTCCAAATGTTAAATAAGCACAACTTACTCAACCTCACTTCAGTCAGCACCAAAAGTTTAACTCTGTGTGATTGTTTTTCTTTTTCTTTTGACTTTTTTCACATTTCTGAAAGGACAGCAGGTTCTGGAAAAGAAGAAGAACATCCCCTGGAAGTTACTTAAAATAAGATGCACTGAGTGAAGAACCAGACTGCTCCATTAGCTTCATATGCTCGCCCCCCCCCCACTTGGCTAGCTGCCAAATGCTTGTCACTTGACTCATCACGTCGCAGTTATGATACCAAACAGCTCACATTCCTCCCCCTGCCAAAATGGTTTAACAGAAAACAAATAATTATAGCAACAAAGAAAGCGATTGTAATACAATCAGTGGAATGAGGATAAGTGGCACACAAAATATAAACTGGAAGTGTTATCCTAATTTTTGCTGAAGACATGAGAAAGAGTATTGAATGCTGAATGACTGCATTTAACAGTTGCACAAGCGATGCCTGTCGATTTATGTCATAATGTACACCTTTGGGAATGATTATTGTATATTATGAGATGATAAATTATTTTTTAGCTGGGAAAAAATGCACAATATTTTTGTCTTATCCATTGCGTTACTGGCTCTCAATAAATTAATATTTTTTAAATGTATTTGCATTATTTTAAACCGACCATTTGTCGAATGCACTATTAAAAAAAACAAAAAAAAAAAACCCAAAAACAAAAAACAATTTCTCACAAGTTACTCCGTACTAGTAGCTCTTTCATCGAATGCTTACGCATTCGTACTAAAATAACTATTTGGAGGCCTCCTTTCCACTTTTATTGGAGTCATTATTATTCTTAAGTAGCAGTACTCTTACTTAAGCATTAATGTTGGTTACTCTACCCACCTCTAGTATAATGTGAGAAATAAAAAATGGAAGCCAGATGACCTTAATTCATCTTTATGTGCTTGTAGGTGACGGACATGATGCAGAAAGCATTGTTTGACTTTCTGAAGCACAGGTTCGACAGCAGGTGTGTACAGATGTGTTGTTGGATACTAAATTGTTTATTTGTAGTGCCTAAAGTGCGCAGGGCTGTGCCTTCATGAACCACAATCATTGCGATGAGATGCGTTGTCCTGTAGGATCTCCATTACACGGGTGACTGCTGATCTGTCGCTGGCCAAGCGCTCGGTGCTCAACAAGAAGGCCATTATGGAGCGATCCAACACACGCTCCAGCCTGGGTGAGTGATATTGTCGTTACTATCCGTCTCCTCGTGTTCATACGACGCTTCTCTCCATGCTGCTCTCAGCTGAGGTCCAGAGTGAGATCGAGAGGATCTTTGAGCTTGCCAAGTCTCTGCAGCTGGTCGTCCTGGATGCAGACACCATCAATCACCCGTCGCAGCTTCTCAAAACTTCTCTGGCCCCCATCGTCGTCTACGTCAAAGTGTCCTCGCCCAAAGTAGAGCACAAACCCACCTCATACACCTCCACTTTCAGTTAGTCTCTGCGACACTAAAGATAAAAAAATTACACGGTGTTGTGTATGAGAGCATTCACAATAATGCTATTGATCTTCAGTGAGGAGGGATTAAATACTCTGCCTTTTGTCTAAAAACACTAACAAAAACAAGGCGGGTTTCAATGACACAATGAGTTTTTTTTCCCCTTAGTTTAAATCAGTTCCCAGGGGTCTTAATGAAAGCCCTCTGACATTCTTGGGTCAAAATCCACAAAAGATGAAAAATTACAGCTTACTTCGAATCCACTTGAAACGCTGCTTGAAACCATTCGAGTCGGTTGGGGCTGTTTTGTCTCATGCAAATAAGACACTACTCACCCGACCTCCAATCAAGAACGGGTTCAGTCAAGAATACGCGGATCCTTTTGAAGCATTACAAAGAGTAAAATAAAAATTGGAAAATGCAGCGGAACACTGCCAAACACAAATCATTACTCAACTCCACCGTGGCACTGTAGCTCAACGTTCAAGAAAGTGCTAATCTGTGCTAACACTGCAGCTCTGCTTACCTTTTGGCTTTGACATGCTTAGAAAAACATGTTATTGTTTAAAGTCTCACTCTAACCAATGTACACTGATACCTCGTTGGATACAATAAATTTGAAAGTCACATCTACCATGTAAATGAAAATGTAGTTGAGTTTTGGGGGGGCGGGGGGGGGGGGGTTGTAGTTTGTAACTCCTTGTATGAATGTCTTTGTGTGGGCTGGACTCTCAGGTTCTGCAGAGGCTGATCAAATCTCGAGGGAAGTCACAGAGCAAACATCTGAACGTCCAGATGATGGCAGGGGACAAGCTTGCTCAATGTCCGCCTGTATGTCACTTCCCTTTCTTTCTCCATATTACACTTGACTTTCCATAGAGCAACATACACTTCAGCCCTCAAACCGGCCTACAGACCATTTAAGTTCAAGTGAATTTATGTATTTATCGGCTGAACTTGTACCTTCTAGCTCAGGGTTGTCCAAACTTAGCCTGGTAATCCAGACTCGTCGCTGCACCAGCAATTGAGTCTGGTCACAGTCGAATCAAGCGCATTTCTGAGGCCGGAAAAATATGAGCAAGCAGACAGCGAAATGAACCAGTCAGTGAAGAGCAGATATAACGTCAGAAAAGTAAAACACCCCTTCTGTTGAAGGAAAAGCTTCCAGTCCCGTCCGTTGCTGGGCTTTTAATGACTTTATGTGTTTCTGGTTATTCAAAACTGATTTCATGCTGATTGATTTTCACAAATTATTTTATCTCCCGCAAGCAATTTTCAATGAGGATGGACTTCCACTGTCGAAGCTTGATGTTGCTCACAAACGTCACAGGAAATAAATAAATTTTATTGCACGGTTGCGGGCAGGCTTTCCAATCCACTCTCTTTCTTCGGAGAGAAAGAAAGTGGGTTTGGCTTGACAGGCCAGTCCAAACTACGGCCCCTCGGCCATTTGTGGCCCACCATCCATTTCTCAGCAACTTGTGGTGTTTACTAAAAACAACCATTTCAAAGATCCAGCGAATTTCCAATTAAACATTTCAAACATTGTGTACTATTTAGAAAGAATAAGAATCATTTTGGCCAAAATGTAAAAATAAAGATTTTGATTAATATGTTTTGCAGTTTTTCCCTGTGCTTTGGTACATTTCTCGGTTGAGAATTGAATTTCTCAAAACTTCTTGTCCAATTTTCACATCACAGAGGTTAGATAGATAGATAGATAGATAGATAGATAGATAGATAGATAGATAGATAGATAGATAGATAGATAGAGTACATGTGGATGGATAGATTTGTAGATTTGTTGATGCTATCTTTGTCCCACCACCAGGAGATGTTTGATGTGATCCTGGATGAGAACCAGCTTGAGGATGCGTGTGAACACCTGGCTGAGTATCTGGATATTTACTGGCGTGCCACCCATCTTCCTTGTTCTGCCCCCGTCAACCCAGCCCAGGACCAAAGCGTGATCACCCCTCCTTCTGCTAACTCCAGTCAACAGGTAGGACAGCAAAAACATCAACATAGCGCTCATGTTAGCGATGTAGCATGGGCCACTCAAACTGCAGTAGTTCTTTTTACTCCCTTTCGACCCACCGTATCTTGTGGCCGGAATATCAGCCTATTACAATTATCACTGTTATTTCGACCACCACTTACCTACTAGTACAAATGTTCTTAATACAACCAGTCGAACACAACTAGTGTCTTTGCTGGTGTGAAACACATTGAGTTGTCTTGTTCAGGAAATGTGCTAGAAAACACTGCCTTACCTTGCCTTGCCTAGGAATATTATTATTTTTATTAATAATAGCAGCAGTAATAGTATTAGTAGTAGCAGTAGTAGTAATAACTACCACTACTATTCACATTGTTGCCCTCAACCTGTGCTGCGCCACCTTAGCTTTATTATTAATGCTGATGTTTACTTTCTAGTTCTCTGAGACTCAAGAGTTAATAGAGTGACCACTTGTGGTGAGTCTTCCTCTCACTTTGGTTGCAACAATTGAAGGTCAAAACTCACTGACGTTGCAATGTACTCTCCTCCTGCGGAACAGGAGCGGCCTAGAGCGCCACCATGGGGCAGCAGCAGCAGCTGCATCTCTCCACCCTCAGTGAGAACGGGGACGAACGAGCAGCTGAAGCGAGAGGAAGCGAGACGAGATGGAGCTTTGGGGCACGGACACATATATACGTCTGTGCTTTGGAGTGAAACATGGAGATCATGCACCGCTCACCGCTGCCCCCTCGGAGAGAGCTACTTGCTTCCAACGCCACGTGACAACTCAGGGTCGCCTTCTGTACACCTTCTGCTACACACAGACACACACACGGGCGGTTGCTCTGTGTGAGCCTGTTCGACATTGGTTAGGGTTTGACCGCCTGTCCTTCTGCCTGTCTGTCTGTCTGTCAGAATGAAGCCCACTACACAAGTGTGGATCGACAGGAATGTTTTCAAATTAACTACCCATTTCTCATGCAAAACTCTTACTACTCTTATTACCCCTACCACAAAGTACTACCACATAATACAACTACTACCACCACCACTACCATTGCTACTACTATCACCATTACAACTAACAACTACTAGTAGTATTGATTACGAGTAGGCTACTACTACTAGAAGTAATGTTACTATTAATAGTACAACTATTAACATCTACTGTTACTCCTCACTACTACTAGTAGTGCTATTATTTTACTCCTACCTCTTCTACTACAAGCACTTAGTACTATTACTGCTACTAACTACTATTACCATTGTAATGCTAACTACCAGTACGAGGATACTACTCCTACTGCTACTACTACTTCTACTACTAATACTACTTAGCAGGACTTTTATGAGTAGTATATATGACTGTGACTACTGATAATCCTATTCCTGTTAGTAGTAATAGCTTTAGTCTTAGTAACTACTGCAACTACTGTTACATCCAGTAATTACTATTACTGCTATCTTTATGGCTATCACTGTTCCAAGTAATAACTTCTACTAATGGCACAGAGTAATATTATAACTATTACTCTTAGTACTCCTACTACTAGTACTACTACTATGACTACTACTACCAACAACTAATACTATTACTGCCCACTGCTACTTAGTAGTACTACCAAGATGACTTACTACTGTGACTACTACTACTACTGCTGACTGCAGTACTATTACATTGAGTACCTACTGATTCTGGCTACTACTAGTAGTATTAATCCATATTTGTTCTAGAATCTAGATAATAATCTTAGTAGTACTACGGTAGTACTAAGATTAGTATTACTAGAAATAGCAAAATCGTTCAATTTTGCTGTTTCTACTAATATTCCAACTTGTAGTTGTAGTAGTAGTAGCCCTCCTTGACACAACGCACCAATTTTTAGGAATGGAGAGTAGCTCTAATACGGTAAATAATACGGTACTAATTGGACTACTACTACTACTACTACTACTACTACTACTACTACTACTACCTAATTATGTAAATGACTAATACTACTCAGTACTATAAGTAGCGCCATTACAACTATACTACTCTAGTCCTATTTCTGTTACTACTGTAACTAATACGGTACTATTACAATGCATACACCAGGGTACTGCTACTACTACTACTGCTACTACGACTAGTACTATTTTGAGTATGACAGGCGCAAAGAACAGTAACAGGCGCAAGCATTTTTCGCTCATCGACGTGTGTAGTGGGCTTAACGACGACAAACACAGGTGGAAGGTTCCTGGGGTTCCTCACTAACTCGCCGTCTTCCGTCTCTACCGTATAGCTAGCGTGGGCTGACATTCCAGTTGAACCAAATGCTTCCTGAAAATAGCACAAATTGTTTCGAGGTTTCGACAACACCACGGGATCAAAATCTTGAATTTTCCCCAGTTTCTTGATTTCCTTCTGATGCAATGTAGCCTTTTTTGTAGTTTATTTTCTACACTAAATGTACGTTGTAGCCGATCGCATAGCTTTCTGCACATAGCCATGCATGTCAAGCACACACTCGCAAGGGAAACAAACCTCCTTGACAGCAGTAGAGTCACTTTTTATGGATGTACAACTGCCAAATGTCCCATTTACTTAAATGGATCTTTAATGGCATCATTCATGCTTCTACCAAGGTCAGACAACAAAAATCCAAACACATTAATACCAAAATGTATTTTTACTTAGTGTTTTTAAGCAAATCAGTCATATCAATAAATGACATATTTTCATTTATTATAACTGAGACCCCAACATTGCATCCGGAATTACCAATCAAAAATGGAATGGTCAGCTTTCAACGATTGACAACCTGTTCTGGCACCCTTCCAACAATACAGATTTTCATCCACTTCTGGGAAAAATAGTTGTATGTATCTATAAAGTAGAAAATACACCGACATGAATTAAGATAATGCTTAACTTAGTCATCTTGATGACTTAAAATACATATTTACAGTGTAAACATATCTACAATGTTAGTTTTTCTTCCTTGATTTAGCCTCCTATCATGAACCACCCATCAGTTGGTTATTATTGTAAATAATGTAATGTGCATGACATTATTGTATTGCGGTTTCATCAGAAGGGCTTGGCAGGATGACGTGACCTCTCAGACGTGTGCATTATCAACACTTCATTGTACAGATTATATGTTTGAGATGGACATACAGTATTATTAGAATGATAAAGTGTTGTGATTAGGATGATTATACAAATGCACAAAATACTGAGGGGACGCACACAAACTGATAGCACCACAGAAAGCATGATTTTCATTTTAGAATACAGTGGTACCTCTGAGTTGGACCACAACCTTTCCAATTTGGTCGACTTTCTCAACAAAATTGGGCCTCCACCGCCTAACTTTTGAGGAGTTCCACCTTCAAGGTACCACTGAAACTGCATTCAGGGCAGGAGGGCGCAATGGCCCATTAGACGTATACAGAAAGCATGCTAGCTAAGCAATATGATGTGTGTTCTTCTTCTCTGTCACCACCAATCAACTTACGCACCCTCAAAAGAAAAATATTGAAAACAATCTAAAGCACACTTCAAGGAGGTTTTCTGTCTGCAATACAAGTGTAGCATTGCCCTGATACACGGCTGAGACTATCAAGATACCTCCTCAGGTATTTCGTGGAGTATGTTTGCACTACACGGTCTTTTTCTTGTCTGCTTTATGATGCAATAAATGCACTACGAGTTCGAATGTGAAGGCTCATGCTTGAGAAGGCCCACTACAGCTTGTTCCACGCTGCAATGACAGTATGTGTCCACCAGATAGAAGCACGTGCTCCTAGAAATATGTACTGGTGCGTAGCTATGACGCCAAAAGACCACTTGAGGGCGTGCTGCTGAAAACAATGATTTAATTCGATGACGGAGGAATTTACCCTTTTTTCTCCTTTCCTTTTGGCATTCAGTAGTTTGGCTTGTTAGTGGTTTACTTTTATAGCTTTACTTTACTATTTACTTTACTTTTATTGCTTCCATTACTTACTGACACATACTGTACATGTGAAATAGAAGTTAAATAGTACATTATGTACCATATGCATAAGGTTGCCACCTTTCAGATCTGTATAATAAGCGACACTCCGAACGATGTCGCGGCAAAACTACGTGGGCTAAAGAAATGTGAAGGTTTGGCTCCCCCAAACCCTCAAATGCATAGAATGACATGTATTTTTTATATGAAGAAAAAACAAAATTCTTTCATCAAATTGGCATTATTTAACATGTCATACAGCCTTTGGGCCCTGGGGTCACTTGGTGGTCCGTAAGGAAGGAGAAGAAAGCATTGTGACATACTCAAAGCTTAAAGTGCTTTATTAGCAATGAATATCGTTCTTTTTTATTATCGACAGAAGTAGCCTGAACCCGAGCACAGCTTGTGGGCGGGGGTCGGCTCGAGAGCCGCATGCCGTCCTAGTGGCCTAGTGGCTCCTTGGAGCTTTTTCAAAAATGTTTGAAAATGGAAAAAGATGGGGGAGGGAAACATAGTTTTTGTTTTAATATGGTTTCCGTGGGAGGACAAACATGACACAAACATTCTTAACGTTTTCCAATGCTGCAAAAATGTGTACAATAAATATTAAATTTAAAAATTTCTGTCAACAAAGATTTGCGTCATAGCCTGCGACACAGGTTTCTATTAGCATGGTGGGAGGCCAGGCAGGTGGATGTTAAAAAAAAAAACTGGCGTTTCATGTACAATTCAGCGAGGCAAAGAATGGGAAGTGTCGAGGGAAGCATTTTTAAACGGTACACGTGAGCTACAATAGTTAACACGCGGCAAAAATGCGCCACATGCCTCCGCGTCAGGTCTCGACGAAGGTAGGCAGTGATTTTCTCAAACTCTTGTGTCTACTTTATTTTACTTTTCTCATCATAGGGGGCACTGTGGCTGTTGCTCACTATGGCATGCGCGTGTAAATGTGTGTTTATGCACGCGTGTGCGGTAACGGGTCGATCGCAGGAGGTTGTTTGATCAAAAAGTAGATCTTAGGTCAAAAAAGGTTGGGCACCCCTGCTCTACAGCAGTGTTTTTCCATCTTTTTCGAGCCAAGGGACATTTCTTTCATTGAAAAAAATCCCGCGGCACACCACTACCTGAAAATGTGAAAAAAAGCTTATTTTAACAATTAAGTGTTACATTGTTACTATAAGCGTTTTTTTAACATTGAAAATTAACGCAATATTATAACACATTGAATAGGAATCAAATCAACATCAATCCAATATTTGGTGCATTCGTTTTAATTTAGATCAGTTTAAGAATGCTCGTTTTTTGCAAACAACAGTGACGTCGTTAAGATGTGTGCGCATCTTGGAGGCAATGTTTGCTGAGGGTCGGATTTTTTTCTGTGTGACAGCCGGTTCTTTTTCTCCCAGTCGTTTGCGCTCTCCCGCAATATTGTACCAATCCCCTTTCCCATCTTGAGTCTTTGTAGAATTCCAACATCATTCAAATGACTTTTCTGCTGAATGTGTCGCTTGAGGTAGTCCAGCTTCCATTTAGTCCGTATTTTTCAATTGGAAAATTTGCTTACATCTTAAACTTTGCTGCATGTTTTGCAGAGCAGACCTTTCTCACTCGAAAAAGAAACTATCTCACCCAGTTTCACTGCTTGTTCTTCTATTTGCACATACTCCGACAGCTATTCCAACTTAAAAGAACCGCAGTTCATTCTTATTTTGGTCTGAGGAGTCAACGTATCACGTTCACTGCCCGGTCGTTTCGACATGATAAAGGATTAGCATTAGCGTCACTTATCCGCCGCCACACTGTTAATGTTATGGAGCGGAGAACAGGCGCAAGTGCTGTCAATGCTGTGATTGGCTGCATAGCGTCATTGCATCGTATCGTGTGATTGAGTGGACACCTGTCACTCACTGAATTACACAGCAAATTGTTACAGAAAAAAAGTTATACTGTATATATAATTCATTTGTAGTGCGTTCACTGCGCTGGATAGGTTTTCTTGTGCCTGAGAGTGTGCGACCAGTGCGCAGTTGCGCAGCTTTGAGGGAACATTGGTGTCGTTGCATCTCCAGTAAACGTAAATCAAAATGGAAGATACATTTCATTGTATTGCCTCGTGTCGGAAACTTCGTTTGTCTCGAAGCGTAAGACAATTTCCCTAGCTGCTGCTGCTCCCTACCGGCATGGAAGAGTACTACATGATTACTCTTCCAGGCGATTGACCGCACAGGCATATATGTTGTATAATTTCCCATGGCACACCTGACAATATCTCACGGCACACTGGCACAGGGTTTGAAAAACACTGCTCTACAGGATGCACTGCAGGGGAAAAAGGAACATTAAATCATGAAGGCTCATGATGTATTTGGAGCCAACTTACTCATTTTGATCGTAGGCTAATATATTGCAGATGCATACAGCGTCATGTGTTGCCTTCATTATAAGGCTTACGTAAGACTTTTTTTGCGGCTCCAGACATTTGTTGTTGTTGTTGTTGTTTTAATTAATTAATTTATTTTTTTTATGGGGAGGTGGGGGGTGGTCCAATATGGCTCTTTCAACAGTTTGGGTTCCCGACCCCTGCTATAGGTTATTATAAAGTGCTGTAAATTAAACAACGAGTTGTACTTTAACACGTTTAACAATTATGAAACACTTAATAGCCTGAACTTGAGCACATCGACCTGGCCTATGTATTTGTGATGCCCTTTATTCACCATTAGGGGGAGGCTTGCTCCTTTAGGATGCAGTAATTTGATGGTCCTCTTGTTAAGCGGGAGGGTGAGAGGCTTTCAAGTCACTTGTGGCACTGATCGACGGTCAGTTATATTTTTAAATAATCATAATATATATATTTTTAAATGCTCGTTTTATTAATGTCTTATAAAGTCGTTCAATTTTTGTTGCAATCGCTGATGAATATTGTTAAATGTTATATATTATTGCGTTGAGGTACTACGTTGGACAACTAGTTAGCACGTCCACCTCAATGCAGAGGCCGTGGGTTTGAATCCGGTGTCCAGCTTTCCGGTGTGGAGTTTGCATGTACACGCCGTGCTTGCCTGGGTTTTCTCCAGGTACTCCGGTTTTCTCCCAGGTTCCAAAAACATGTATGGTAGGTTAACAGATCACTCTAAATTGGTAAGGTGTGATTGCGAGTGTGAATGGTTGGTTGTCTATGTGTGCCTTGCTATTTCCTGGCAACCATTTCAGGGTGTACCCGGCCTATAGCCCCAAAGACAGCTGGGATAGGTTCCAGCATGCCCGCGACCCCTGTGAGGATAAGCAATTCAGATAATGGATGGACTTTCAAGCGCAGACTTGACACACAAGCACTGTATATTTGCAGAGACTCAGCTCACTTCACTTCATTTGTTGTCGAGAATATATATGTATTTACAGGGGAATGTGGGCAAAAATGTGTATATAGTAGAATGAGGTGATTATACATTTGTAAGATTTTTACAGTCATTATGTCCCTCAGAGGGAAAATGATGTGGCTGTCGATGAAAATCTGTTTGGCACTCTGGGCAACACCATTCAAATTATTATTAAAGGAACTTCATCATGTACATCACATCCTGTTTAAAGCTGTAAAACCTTCATTACCACTTATGCCACTGAAACAGGATCTACCATTGTGCAAACCCTGTCAAATAGGTCCAACTACAAAAACGAAAAAAATAAAATACCTCAAAAACTTGCTGGGCAAAAAAAAAAAAAAAAAAAAAAAAAAAAAAAAAGTAAAGATGATTTTTATATCAACGTCAAAATATGTTAAGTCTTCTCTGATTAAAATTATTGACCAGTGTTCTGAATAAAATCTTTTTTGGCCCCTTAATGCTTACAACAATAAACATATGAATTAAAGACAGAACATTTGACTGTTTTGTAATACTTTGTCCTTCAATATTTGTTTGATTTTACATCATAGAAGATAATCAGCAACAATTTACAGATTTTTTTTCCCCATTTTTTTTTTTCAGGGGGCAATGTTTGAATGTCATTATCTTATGTTGGAATGTGTTAATGTGTTTAAAAAAATGCTGATTTGTTCGAGTTATAAAATCACATGCCAGTCTCAGACAGGTTTGTCATACATTTTCCCACTCTCAGTCCAGCGTTGAGTTGCGGCCCACCATTCGCACTCATGACCCCTCATCCACAAAGCTAAGCTGGGTGGCGTGCTCTGTCTGCGATGCCTCTCCCTGCAGGCTCAGTAGGACTTCCTGCGTCTGGGCTGCCTCGGAGACCTGCTGGACATCGAGCTCAGGAGGTGAGCATGTGGAGAATGATGGCTGCGGATGAGAGTGGCAGAAAGGGTCGAGCTGATATTGGGATGAGCTGCAACACGCTGGCTCTAAACTCGTTCCTATTAAGTCCAGCAGAAGAGGTGTGCAGGAGGATGAGAGGGAGGGGATGGAGGAGGACCAGGAGGGAAGCTGCATTAGCTTTTGCTCATGTGGAGAACTGTGTAGCGATGGCGGAACTGAACAAGGAGACCCAGCTGCGGGATTACCAGAGGCGACGATTCGTGAATTGGAACAATGAAGTGGGTCAAATTCTGCTGCACGTGCGCTCCTGCAACTGTCCGATTGCTCCACGTCAAGGAGGGGAGATGATGGCTCGGGTATCAGGACGCATTGAAGGTGTTGGTCATCTGCATGCTGGGTAAAAAGCGGTGGCGCCGGGGAGCAAGTGTGCGAGGAGACGCTGGGAGGCGGGGTTACCGTGCTGGGGATCAGCAGGGTGGAGGGCTTGTGAAAAAGCGGTTTGAGAAGTCGGGTCATTTCCTGAAGCTCTTGACACACAGTGGTTACCTGGCGAGAAAGAACCTTCATCTGGTGCAGATGTATAGAAATAAAACAGAGTTCAAATTAGGCCAGATGTCACACACTCAATGACATTTGCAGTGATTTACTTGGGAAAAATCTATTCAAAAAAATTGAGTGTGAACTCAAAATGTCAAGGCAAAAAAAAGCAAAATATTTAAGCATTGCTCATGTGGGAACTGGCTTTAATACATTTCACAACAAAGAAATGAGTTTGCAGAACTGTTGTCCTTTGTAAAACTTAAAGGTATAAGTTAAATCTGTCGCACGAGGAGCGGAATTTGGACCGAGAAGCAGATAGAAGACTAAAGTGGTGAAGTAAATGTCTTTATATGCAAAAACTTAAAGTAAAAAACAGACAGCTGGACATAGAAGGCTTAAGGTGTAACTGAGTAACTCAAGCTTATGTATAAAAAAACAAGTCCAGCTCTGTGTGACCAGATAAAGGACCAAAGCAACAGACAACGTATTGCTTTCAAAATAACACATTAATTGCTTTGGTGTGCTAACTAACATTGTTGTTGTCAATAATTTGTATTTTAAAGTTTCCATTTTCTAATTCTAATGATGAGAACGTAACATTTAATTAACCTTAGCTAATTGCTCGTAATTGTTACTTGAGTCATTCTTTTATAATGAATGAAAGTAAAATTTACTTAACTCTGCGCATAAATTTTTCGTAAACTTTTTTTTTCATGCAAATATCACTCTAAATGTCTTGCAGGGAAAAAAACGAGATGAAAAGCAGCAGTCTCACCTCATGTTTTAGCGTAGCGATAGCCTGCACTGTGTCGCCGTCATCGCGTTGCTCTGTGGATGGTAAGTGCATACAAAAGCACATCACAGACAATCCCAGACACTTTCAACAGTGAGTGTACAATAAGAGTTGCTTCTTTTGTTACCTATTACTGAATCGTGGCTGGGTAGAAAATGCTGCAAATTAGCTGCAGTAAAATCAAATGTTGTGTCCGGACTGCTTTGATTTTCTGATTCAATGCCATCTACAAAGCTGAATGGAAGCAAATGTGAAAAAAAGAAATTAGCAATCCGAGAAGCCTAAACAGCTATGATAAAATATCGCAATTCATCTCAAAAAGTGGATCCTCTGTTGTCCAACCCTGAGGGTGAAGGATTAAGCCTTTGGGGAAAAATAAACCTAGAAAGTTACACAAATTTTATGTCATGACATCATCTTGACTTATGGATCTATGTAATCATCTTAAATCTCCAGTCCAGTTCAGGTTCCGCGAGGGCCCAAATTACCACTGGGAGAACTTAATCCTCTTGGCAAGGTATATTAATGTTTTTGTGCACACTATGGGTATAATTCACATTGTATAGATTTTGTTACATCTTGAAGTAGTAGTATCTTATATTGTCGAACGGTCAAGGCTTGCTGGTTTGGTTTGGTTTCCCGCTAATTTGCCAGCCAGTTAGCTTGCTAGTTAGCCAGGAAATTAGTCCATTTAATTCCAGACAAATTCAACCTCAACTCAACTCAACTCAAATGTATTTATAGAGCACTATCAAACAGCCATTGGTGCATACAAAGTGCTGTACATGGAGCAACTATCATATGGACAACAATAAAGCAATAAATCAGGAACAAAGACGGTAGAAAGCAAAAAAACAGCAAAACTAAGATCAAGTCTGAGTCATGCTGAGTCAAATGCCAAAGAAGTGTGTTTTGAGGCGAGTTTTAAAGATGGGCAGCGAGGGGGCTTGCCGAATGTTCAGTGGCAGGTCATTCCAGAGAGAGGGACCAGCAACGGAAAAGGCTCGATCCCTTCTGAGACTCCGTTTAGTTCTTGGTACTTCTAATAATGTCTAGTCCGGGGGACAAACAGTAGTTTCCTAGTATAAAGTTAGCACAGTTTACATGTACATGCTGATGGCGGCTCACACTGTGCTATGTACTATGACACAAAGCTATTTATTAACCCATCTATTGCTTTGACCAATCAGTTGCAATCATAATTTGTATCGTCATTCAATAGGCAAACAGTTTCCAGGGGCAGTATTTACACGAAATAACTTAATTAGATCAGAATACATTCATATCTTTTGAGTATCATTTCTGTATCTTGAGACTGGGATGAGTGTCCTCTTTTATGGAGATCAAAATATGGTCACTAATTAAGCTCAACAGACTTTTTATTAAGGCAAGTCTATGTGGTTGCTTTAAATATACAAGGTGCGATTCTCATTGATGTTTAATTCGACAGTAAAACTTAATTGACAACTAACCTCTGAAGCCTGATTTTGGAAGAAAGGCTCACTATCTGCCAAACCGCTACATGTGAAAAGTTGCCTTGTGTATATCCCATTTTTACCCTCAAATAAAAGCAACGCATTGAATGACGGTTAATATCTTAAGGCAAGCCAAGATGTAAATTGACCTTTGCTTTGATTCATGCTGTAAGACAACAAGAGTGGAATCCCACTGAGACGAAATGAAGACATGCTCAGCACCCTGCCTGGATATCAGTGATTGGTTTCATACCGAGGGCTAAGCTCCGGCTGCAGGCAGCTGAAGCTCACCACAGGAATCTGCAGGCTGGAGGGCCGAGCAAGATTGCTCGCTGGTCGAAATGGTCTTGGCGGGAGTAGGGGTGAGCGCAGAGGGGAGCGCAGGGGCGAGCGCAGTCCTCGGCCCAGTCGGCCCAGTGGAGGCAACTTTGGGAGTGGGGAGCGCTCCTCCTCGGAATTTGGCCCTTCTTCGTCCTCCTTGATGGAGGGAAGCTTCTTCATGAGTTCTCCGTTGCTCTCGCAGTTGGCCTGAAGTTGGAAAGATGAGGCGGGAGAAAATGTTGAATCAGGCTGGTTGTTCTGTCTGTGCGAACACAACATTATGGAGTCTCTTTTGGTTGGCAATGCATTGGCACCAAGGCGCAAATGCTGGCAGATCGGCCTCTTCCAAGCTACAGTGGGTGGGCCAGCGCAGCAGAAGGAGTGTCTTGGAGAGCCGCCTGGCGGAGTGACAATTTGCTGGTGAAAAGTCAAAACCTTACGCCTGTTCAAACTATAAGTGGCCGGTGCAGGGTAGACAGCTGGGGCCATATTTCACACACGGATGATCGTGGGTGCAAGGTGGTCTCAAATTGCCCACATCACATGCGCAGCCAGCCACATCATCCGCCAGGAGAGATCTTGCAGTTTACCTGTCAATGTCATGCACAGACCTCAGTGAGTATATTTCTGTTTCTGCAATGGTGTATTGCACTTTGACCGCTCTGATTCTAATGCAAATGAGGGATGCTTAAACGATTGCCAGGG